TACAGTGGAGATAAGTCCTACATTATTATTATTATTATTATTATAACCTTTATTTTACCAGGAAAGACGCATTGAGATTAAAAATCTTTTTACAAGAGCGTCCTGGCCAATATTATAGGCAGTACACAAGTCACCCGAGTCCAACAGACAACAAACAATTTACAGTTAACATGAAATCACACTGACAAACTACTCAAAACATCTACAAACCCGTTTCAACTTCTAAATCTTTTATAGACTTTTTAAAAGCATGTGGTGAAATAAAGTCTTTGAACAGCAACTGTGTTTGCAGATTATTCCAAACAAAAGGTGCTGCGTACTTAAAAGCCTTTTTTTCCCTCCATCTCAGTCCGCACTTTAGGAACAGACGGTAAATAAATACCCTGTGACCGAAGACCCTAGAACAGGCTTTTTATGAATGTAATTCTGAAGATACGATGGGAGTAAACCCAGTATAGATTTGTAAACGGGGATATGCCAATGCTTGAGCCTAGGAATGGACAAAGCAGACCAACCTAGTATACAGCACACAATGAGTAAGGGATTTGAAATTAGTTATAAATCTAAGTGCACCATGGTAAACAGTAATGCATGCAGACTTTGAGACGAAGCATGCATATAGAATACATCCCCGCAAAGATAGCTTTTTTCTGAGGTGGTACTTGATGAAAAACATTTGAGAATCGTTGTATTATTATTATTATTATTATTATTATTATTATATCTATCTTTGATAAACACCATCTAATAAAATCTCTTTTATTTGGTTGACTGTAACCCTGCAAAAGCCTCGCCAGGCCTGCTGGCATTGCATTAATTACCTTTCGTGGAGGCACTGGAAAACTAAACTTCTCTAAAAATTCTGTATAAATCCGTAAATATCCTTTATCATTTAAAAACAGACCACTGGAATATATATTTTAATCTAATTATCATGGTAAATTGATTTGTTCTTATATCTGACAGTTTTATTATTCCATGTTATTTGTTTATGGGGAGAAAAATTGTGTTTGCATAGGAGAATCCAACATTAGCCAGCCTATAAAAAAATGATTATTCAATGGGGAGTTTATTCATGTCAAAGTCACACTTTAAAAGAAACTCTAGACCACCGACTTCCAAAAATAAGGCTTTGGATTATATAGCAGATTTCATTTTTACTTAAGAAATCAGATCTTAAACGCTGCGATTTTTTTTTACGGGATGACAATTAGGCAGAAGCTCTTGGGGTTAACTGACTGCCTGAAATGAAAAGTCCATGCACATAAGAGCTATCCAAGAGCAAGTAAATGATGACTGAACCTTCCCTTTCAGATTATATTTTCCAAATTAAAATAAAATAAATTGTAAGGCGTCTGGAAAGCAGCTTAAAGTATAGCACGATGAGTCTACAAACGGTATCGTATTTACTGTATTTTTAGCAATGTTGGATGATTGACAGGCTGTTATTTTACAGTGACAGATCGCGTGTAATTGTGAGAACAAATGTGTCTGTCCCAAAGGTAAATATTTGCATTGAAAAGCTGCCATATTATTTTTATGCCATATATACTTTAAAAAATGAATACAATAAAACTAAAACATGTTCATTAACTTATTAATGAAAACAACAGCAGGTTATGCAATAGCAAATGGTGAAATAAGAAAACCAAGGTCACAGGCAATATGCAGATTGATGAAAAATGCAAACAGGAACAAAAAGAGCATCAGATAAAATCTCTTCCTCTTCTAACAGCACCGCAAACATGCGCCAACACATGTACAACAAAACTCAAACACATAACTGTCTGTCCCAGGAATGTTTCATTTCGCTTGTTTTTATACTCAAATTGAGTCTGCATTGTAAAAACATCTTGCTTGCCTTTAATATTTAAGCTGAATCAAACCTTATGAGTCCATTGAACTTATGTTAAACGGACTTAAAGCAGCTTGCATAACTTATACGATTAAGTTAGAACATGATTAACTTAGTTTAATAAGTTACAATGACCTAAAACATGCTGTCAGGACTCATTGATCATATTATTTTAGTGTACACAAATTAGGACAATCTATAGACAATTACAGGAGTCAAAGGGTAAAATGCAATACCATTTAAGACCTTTTTTTAAGACTCCATACATTAAGACCTCATCGCCACTTCAGGTCTGAACAGGTATCATTGGCGACATAAGTTATATTCACTAAATACTGATTGTTAGGAACTAATCCTAAACTAAACATTCATATACTTTATAAAAATGTTAATGCAGATGGTTTCGCCTATAGAGGAGCAGAAATAATGGTGCTGCCTTGATTACTGCAGTAAACAAAGCTGTGTGACATCAAATATTAACTGCAATAACTACACAGCATCCCAAATTTTCAAACTTTAGTAAACACCTATAATTACACAGCTGTATAATCAAAAATATGCAACATTTAACACCTTATAACAGCATTTGGGACTTTAAGGGCCTTAATTGTCTCTAAATTGATTTATCAACATTTTAATACTAATTAAGACCCCGCGGACACCCTGAACAATACAAATAATTCAATATTGCCAAAGTTAGTGGCTAATTCTGGCAGCATTTCTTTATAAAAGAGCACATGTATGCCTTTGAAAGCTGTTTTAACACTTGAAGCATTTCTGCTAATCTTTCGTCAAAGCTTTTACCATAATCTATTTTGCATAACTATCTTGATTTTTTTTTTTTTTTTACTCTGTTTAGCCTATATGTCGTTTGTCATTGATGTTATCAAACACAGCAGTGTTGTGGGAATGTCTGTGTTGATCATAAGGCTGAAGTGAACACACACGCTAAGCTCCATGTATTGAATTACTCTTGTTGTCAAATGAACATGAAGTTATAGTGACCTCTATTGGAAACTCGTTTAAACACGGTTGAATGAGCACTATAGACGAAGACAACTTAACAACCAAACCACTGATTAAAGTTCTGACCAATTGGTAACCGCAGTAAAAGCAGCCAAAGCTAATGCTAGTTCGCGTAGCATCGCTTATTATACATACACGGTAACGTTAGAACTGATTGAAAAAATATAAAACGCTTTACTCACCAGTGTTTTTCTTGTTTCCTCAGTGAAACAAGGGAGAAGTTTGGCATTTTCCCGTTCAAAAGAGGATAACATTAAAACATTTACCCGAATGAAACAAACAAACAAACAAACATGAAAAACAAATGAGCACAAAACGTGGTTTGTAAAATAGCGACTAGCCGTATATCCGACACTTCAGATCTGTTAGGTAACAGGATACATCCCTTTTTAAACAAGGGTGTAATTTGAGTTCATCGCGTTTTTATCGACAGCTGTGCAGTTTGCTGATTGCTTAATTGACAATTGTCGCCTTTAGGTCACGTGACAGAGATGCTACTTTGATCAAAACAAACGTTTCAATTAGGCTAAGAATTGTCAAAATAAACATATTACGTCCGAGTTATTGCTACAATGGATTTCAAATGCTACTGTTTTCCCACATTCGTTAACATATATTGTGAGTGTGTTCAACAGAAAGCATAATTTGAAACAAACTTTGATTATTATTTTTTAATTAGCATGTGTGTGCAATAGGCTCTATGATCAGCTAGTGTTTTTCAGCCAATGATAAACTTCCAGTGAATACTATAATGTGACTATTTTTAATTTCATAAGATTCCTTTTACAGCATTGATGTTGTGTTGTAATTAAAATATAATCATATATATATATATATATATATATATATATATATATATATATGTGTGTGTGTGTTTCCTTCTTTGATCCCCTTTAGGTCTTTAAAGGTCCCATTACATAAAATAAAGTGTTTTAGATGTTAGTCTCAGTATTGTTAGATAAGAAATCTACAAGGTAATGTGCTCCAAAATAGTGACAAAACTTGTGCTTAGAAAAAAACGGAGTTATATCCAAACACGTCCTGTTCTTAAGCCCCATATGGTGATGCAGACGTCTCCAAAACCCGACAGGTGGATAAATATGAACTTATTTTTATTAAAACAAATATAAAGATGCATGTATCAAATAAAACTGCTAATAATAATCACACTATATAAATGCTAATTATCATAAATAAACTGAAAAAATACCCCCGAAAGGAGGCATGAAGGCAGTGGTTTTTATGTAGAAAATGAGTTTTGTAACATTTGAATCCTTTAATTGTTTTCATCTGTAAAGATATTCGTGTGTTACTGAACATCCTGTGTGTATAAAGCAATGTGTAAGCATTTGGACCTGCATAACTTATGCACTCTGCGCTGGACTTTTGAGCAGCTTTCAGTCGGTCAACAGCATGGCCTATTTCAGTTCTTCAAAATAGCAATGCATCAACAATGTGCCTTAACACAACTTCTTTTCAGTCCGGCACGTCCCTGAGCCCACAAAGTGGCACAAATGGATTCACAATTTAAACAACGTGGCGGAAAACCAACGCAATCTCACGGCAATTTGTAACTTTTTGATTCAGTGGCTAATTCGTATGAATTCATACGATCTAATTCGTAAAATTTAGTAGGATTTGCTCATCACCCAATGACGGTTGGGGTTAGGTGCCACGCCTCCTTTTTAAAATCATACGATATCGTACGAATTAGCCACTAAATTGACAAAGCGTAAAATACTTGCGTTTCCTCGTGAGATCAGGCTGCGGAAAACATGAAAATTACTGTTGCGCTGGTCTGAAAATAGCAACAAATCGCACCAAACACATCTTGCGCCAGATGTATGATAGGCCCTACATCAAATATCAAATTAAAAACGCATGGTGACCTTTAATGAACGATTTAACCTCTTTGGGAGCTGTTCTTGACAACCTTAAAACGCGTCTAATTTATAAGTTGAAATGTTGAAATTAAGAATCAGTAGTGGAGGACTAACAATTTCGGCTTCAGCTACATTTAAATAAACACTTCGTGTAAGGATCTCTCTGTTACAGGAAACCAAGACACAACAATGAGGAACCACTGCGGTGTTGTAGAGCAGTCATGATGACAATGTGATTTTTTTTTTTTTTTTTTTGCGTGGAAGTTTACTTGCAAGAACATTACATACAAGAACCCCACCCTCCCAAACCATTCATCAGTGTGAAGAAGCGGAGAAACGTTACAGACTCACTACAGTTTCCACATTTCTCCACCGTCTCCAATCACACAAAGACCTTCAGCAGTAAACAATGTGGTACAACGAACAAGATGATCAGTGAGCAGAAGTCAAACGGTGGCCCTAAAAATTACACATCCGTCATAAAAATATATTAATCTTTCTCCTTTAGCGCCTTTTGATATAAATATAGATATTTAAATGTAATAAACATGCAGTCTGCAAACAGGTGTCCGTAACTAAGAGCAAGATACAATAGGAACTAGAACACACTGACGGTATCTACTAACCGATACGATACATAAAAGGTTATTAAAAAGTATAACGCACAGAAATCAGACGCCATCCTGACAAGTATTTGGCAAAAAGGAGATGAGAAAGGTCAGAGAGGAAGCTTTAAAGAAACAGTCAGACCAAAATATAAATTCTGTCTTCATTTACGAGTGTTCTGATGCCGCTCGGGTACATTTAAAGACACAGTTCACCCAAAAAAAATGAAAATTCTGCCATCATTTACTCACCCTTTACTTGTGTTGAGTTTCTTTAAACACTAATTGTCAAGAAAGCTGAACGCCTGTAACCACTGACTTCCATAATATTAGTTTTCCTACAATGGAAGCCAATGGTTTCCAGCATTCTTCAAAATATCTTCCTCTGTGTTCAACGGATTTACAAGGTATATAATCACTGAGTAGACTCATTTTTTGCATGAACTAACTCTTTAGTTGAAAGCAATTGAATGCTGAAAAGAGCAGCTTGGACATTTTGCAAAACATCTTTCTTTTTAATTCCCCAGAAAAAATATGTAGTCATATTTGTAATGACATTATGAAAAAAATGAAGGCAAAATGTAAATTTTTCAGGCTGAACTATCCCTTTAAAGGCACTGTTATGAGTGTCCTGATGCTGCTCAGTTACATTTAAAGAAACAGTTCACCCTCCCAAAAAATGAAAACTCTGCCACCATTTAATCACCCTTGTCTTGAGTTTCTTCGAACACTTATTTTGAAGAAAGCTGTACTCCTGTAACCACTGACTTCCATAATATTTGTTTTCCTACAATGGATGTGAATGGTTACCGGTTTTCTTTAAAAGATTAAAGAAAAGATTCACAATCACAGAGGAAATTGACATCTTTGCATAAATTATCCCTATAAGTGAAAGTGATTAGATGCTGAAATGAGCAGCTTGGACATTCTGCAAAACATCTTATTTTGTGTTCCACAAGAAATGTCTTATTTGGAATGAGATTAAATAAATTTAAATTAAAAATGGCAAAATTGACTTTTATTGGACTGAACTAAAAAAGCTGAACACCTGTAACAATTGACTTTCAATAATATTTGTTTTCCTACAACTGATGTGAATGGTTACCGGTTTTCAGCCTTCTTCAAAACATCTGTTTACAACAGATTAACAAAGGGTAAAAAACATGGAGTAATTAGTGAGTAAATTGTGATTTTCTGGTGAACTAACCCTTTAGGTAAAAGTGATAGAATGCTGAAACAAGCAGCTTGGACATTCTGCAAAACATCTTCTTTTGTGTTCCACAAAAAGAAAACAAACGTCAAATTTGGAATATAATTCTGAAAAAAAAAATCATAGCAAAATTGACATTTTTTAGGCTGAACTGTCCCTTTAAAAAGCATTGTTATCAGTGTCCTGATGCTGCTCGGTTACATTTAAAGACACAGTTCATCCAAAAATAAAAATTCTGTCATCATTTACTCACCTTTTACGTGTCTCGAGTTCTTTTGAACACAAAGGAAGATATTTGGAAGAAAGCTGAACCCCTGTAACAATTATCTTCCATAATGTTTGTTTTCCTACATTTTATGTCATTATAGTAACAGGTTTTTAACATTCTTCAAAGTATCTGTTTTCAACAGATTAAGAAAAGCTCATACACAAAGTAAATAGTGAGCAAACTGTCCTTTTTGCGTGAGCTATCCCTTTAACTGAAAGTAAGTGGATGCTGAAACGAGCAGCTTGGACATTCTGCAAAACATCATTTTTTAGTTCAACAGGAAAAAAAACATTAGTAGTCACATTTGGAATGACATTATGAATTAAATAATGGTAGAATTGACATTTTTTCAGCGGAACTTTCACTTTAAAAGGCATTTTTATGTGTGTTCTGATGCTGCTCAGTTAAATTTAAAGATGCAGTTCATCCAAAAACGAAAAACTCTGTCATCATTTACTCACCCTTTACTAGTCACGAGTTCTTTTGAACACAAAGGATGTTATATTAAAGAAAGCCAAACACCTGTAACCATTGACTTCCATAATAGTTTTTTTACTATAATAGAAGTCAATGGTTACAGGTTTTCAGCATTTTTCAAAATATCTCCCTTTGTGTTCAACAAATTAAAAAAGGTTCATAATCACTGAGTAAATTGTAATTTTTTTTTATATGAACTATCCCTTTAAGTGATTGAATGCTGAAACGAGCAGCTTGGACATTCTGCAAAACATCTTTTTTAGTTCCACAGGAAAAAAAATCATATTTGTATGACATTATGAATTAAATAAAGGCAGAATTGACATTTTTTTGTGCTGAAGGAGCAGCTTGAACATTCTGCAAAACATCTTTAGTTGAATGATGGGAGGATTTACATTTTATGGGCTGAACTTTCCCTTTAAAAGGCGTTTTTATGAGTGTTCTGATGCTGCCCGGTTACATTTAGAGATACAATTCACCCAAATATGAAAATTCTGTCATCATCTAATCGCCCTTTACGTGTCTCAAGTTCTTTTGAACACAAAGGAAGATATTTCAAAGAAAGCTGAACACCTATGACTGCCTTTCATAATGTTTGTTTTCCTCCAACGGATGTGGATGGTTACAGGTTTTCAACATTCTTCAATGATCTTTGTCAACAGATTAAGAAAGGGTCGTAATCACCGAGTAATAAGTGAGTACATTGTTATTTTTGCGTGAACTATCCCCTTAAGTGAAAGCGATTGGATGCTGAAAGGAGCAGCTTGGACATTCTGCAAAACATCTTCTTTTATAGTTCCACAGAAAAGAAAAAGAAGTCATATTTGGAATGACATTCTGGAAAAAATGATGGTAGAATTTACATTTTTGGGCCGGACCATCTCTTTTAAAGGCACTTTTTTTTGACATCAAGATCTTGCGTTCTCCAGTTAAAAGAAACCCAATACATTCTTCAATTCTTCCAGCTTCGCAGACTTCACTCCGGCACCGCAGCAGTGGCGATCTCCACTTTTCCATGCATGTCCCGATCAATCCTGAGTAATATAATAATAACAATAGTGTAAGTCATAAGAATCAACACCGCTTGATTCAGCTCTTTAGAACTGAACACAGAGACAGTCTCATGACTTCACACTGAAAGGTTTAGTGATCGAGGTTTTGATTGAGGTTAAAAATATTACAAAAAGCGAATCGAGTATTCAAATCCATTAAATGTGGAACTGCAGTCAGTTGATTCTACATTGTTTATTGTGAACGCTGGATAAAATACAGCTCATGAAGGAAATCTGTGTGGAGATTCTTTACAAAGTCGTTGTTTTATCATGTGGAAAACTATGGAGTGAGTTTTGCTTCTTTATAATTCAAAGTATTTCATTTGAAAGCAAAAGCAAACATATTTTCATAAAACAAATAAACCAACTCGCAAGAAAAGATTTTAGATCCACAAAACAGAAGAAAATAAATTAAAAAAATTTTGGGGCCGAACTATCCCTTTAAAAGGCATTTTTAAGAGTGTTCTGATGCCGCTCGGGTACATTTAAAGACACAGTTCACCCAAAAAATTACAATTCTGTCACCATTTGCTCACCCTTGTGTTGAGTTCTTTTGAACACAGAGGATGACATTTTAAAGAAAGCTGACCTCCTGTAACCATTAACTTCCATAATATTTGTTTTCCTACAATGGAAGTCAATGGTTACAGGTTTTCAGCATTTTTCAAAATATCTTCCTTTGTGTTCAATGAATTAAAAAAGGGTCATAATCACGGAGTACATTTTTTGTGTGAACTATCCCTTTAAGCGACAAAGATTTTAGATCCACAAAACAGAACTGAGAGCACATCCACATGTGTGTAATGAAAAGTGTGTGAAATGCATTAAAGGGCGAGACACTTTTTTTATTTTTGCATTGCAGACAAGTTTTTATTAATTACAATATATTTTGAATAATTTTTTATTTGCAATCTTTTTGATTAAAATATATTTAATTTAGTTTTGCTCTTGATCTAAATATTCTGATTGATAATAAAGAAAACAAACTCCATAGAAAACACCTAATAATTATTTATACTGAAGTAAAAAAAAAAAATCACTCATGAAATTTTTCAAATATTTCCCAAGTGATTAAGAGTTTCACAGTGTTTCCCATTTACTTGGTTTGATTGTTTGGTCAGAATTTTTAAAAATATTTTTAAAACAAAATTATTATTATTACTATTATAAACTTTTTGATTGATTGGCCACAGAACAGACCACTGTTGACCTTCCTAATTAACCTTTAATTTTCACCGGCCACTTTATTAGGTACACCTTACTAGTACCAGATTGGACCCTCTTTTGCCTTCAGGACTGCCTTAATCCTTAGTGGCATAGATTTAACAAGGTACTGGAAATATTCCTCAGAGGTTTTGCTCCATATTGACATGATGGCATCACGCGGTTGCTGCAGATTTGTGGTGGATTGTGCAAAATCCAAAGGTGCTCCATTGGATTGAGTTCTGGTGACTGGAGGCCATTGGAGTTCAGTGAACTCATTGTCATGTTCAAGAAACCTGGTCAAGACTTGACATGACGTGACACCCGGTGTGGTCTTCTGCTGCCGTAGCCCATCTGCCATAAGGTTGGACGTGTTGTGTGTTCAGAGATGCTCTTCTGCAGACCTCAGTTGTAACGAGTGCCTATTTAAGTTACTGTTGCCTTTCTATCAGCTCCAACCGGTCTGGCCATTCTCCTCTGACCTCTGGCATCAACAAGGTGCCAACAATATTTGTGCTCACAGAACTGCCGCTCACTGGATATTTCCTCTTTTTCGGATCATTCTCTTTAAATCCAAGAGGTGGTTGTGCATGAAAATCCCAGTAGATCAGCAGTTTCTGAAATACTCAGACCAGCCCGTCTGGCACCAACAACCATGCCAACTTCAAAGTCACTTAAATCCCCTTTCCTCCCCATTCTGATGCTCAGTTTGAACTGCAGCAGACCGTCTTGACCATGTCTACATGCCTAAATGCATTGAGTTGCTGCCATGTGATTGGCTAATTATAAATTTGGGTTAACGGTGTACCTAATAAAGTGGCCGGTGAGTGCAGCATCTGGCTAAATAACTAGTAAAAAAGTTTGTACTCTAAACATAGCAAAGACAATTGTATTATTAAATCATTTAGTTATTATCTGTTGAACACCACTTGGAAAAAATTCAATCACTAATACTTTAGTTTTCAACTGTAAATATGTCAATTGAAGATTTAATGCCACCTCCACTTTGGTTAAAAGCATCTGCAAAATTACTAAATGTAAATGTCATTTTGACTAAGCTCAAACTCTCAAAAATCTGCATTTCTTAAGAGTTTTTGTCTTGATTTTAGTCCAAAAAGAAGCATTATCTACAAAAAAAATTGCATTTGGAAATATTTCAGAAATAATATATATCAAATTAAGAGAATTATTCCTTAAAACAAGCCAATTTCAAAGCAAAAACATGATTTTACTAACCCCATTGGCTTATTATTTAGCTTGTTTTAAGGAAAAACAAATAAAATGTTGACTTATTATTTCTTAAAACAAATCATTTTTTTAAGAAAAAGCTTCTTGTCTTAAGAATTTTTCTATCTTTGGACTAAAAGTGACACAAACTTGCTCACTGTTTGACATGTAAATATGTGGAGGTTTGGAATAGACATGCAGTGAAAATGTGCACCAGCCAGACATGCGTTTGAAAAAAACCAACAGACAAACACATAAATAACATACACCGCCCGTGACTTAATGACTCGAATCCTTCACCGTGGTTTACTAGCCAGGTCATACATACCCCACTAACACTGGCAGAACTAAGAAGACAAACGTCAGAATCGAAATCTGAGGGACGGTCATTACAAACACAAGCAAATTAGTGCACTTGACCACACACACACAAAAAATGATATTAATAACTTTTATTAATATTAATAATTATTAGGATATTAATAACAGCTTTTGGATGATTCACTAATCTTCAACGCTACATGCTTTTGTGGAGACTCAAACAATAAATAGGATGTTTACTGTTTACTGAACTGGAGAGTTACTGAATTTATGAGGCAGATTTAATTTACAGAGCTTTTTTTTTTTGCATACACAAGCAGATAAAGAGACTTCGATAATGTTTTAAAAAACCTTTGTGAAAATAAAATATGGGTGAACTGTTTCATTGTCACTTATATGATCGGATTAGGAGTTTAATGAACTCTCATTAATATATAAATAGTGCTCATACTCAATCTGATCATATAATATTCTTTAAAGAATGGTGGCAAAGTATGAAGAGTAAAAAGCATAATTAATTACTATTTAGTTTCTCCCTGGTAGCTTATTATTGATTTTTCTCAGTCTTTAATATTTAATAAAAAGTAGATAATGTTTGCATTGCAAAAAACTAATCCCAAATCTAATTTTTTCAACAAAACGCTTGGGGTAATTGACCAACTCTGTCTTTAAAAGGGCCCTTTAATTATATGTCATTTTACAATTGTCCAAAATGACTGATTTCCGTTACATATGTTGTTATATGCATGATGAATTAACTGAATTTAGTAAATATTGATGATATATACACAGGGTGATTTAAAAAGAATTCCACAACTTTGTAAATCTGTATTTAATCAAAGAAACATGATGACAACAGCACTCCTAGTGATCAATTGAGCAGCCAAATGAAACTTCAGAGCTTCCTTAAATCTGCGACAGAGAGAGATTAGCTCTCCTTTTCTTCTTTGCAGAGTTCTCGATTTTCCAAGTTGTGGTATTCTTTTTAAATCAGCCTGTATTCATCATCACATTTACATCAAAACTTGACGCTTGACTTTATTATAGAAATATCTTTGGTTTCAGTTATGCTAAAAACATGATCTGTAAAGTCTATCAAAATGGAATTGAGAAATAGATGATTTTATTTTACTAATAGTTATTAATAATGAGTTCATAATTTATATAATAATTAAGAATCAAACTTTGGCATCACTTTATTACCCAAATACCTTTGAGTTTTAGTTACAGTGAAAAATGGATGTGTGTAGTCTATCAAAATGGAATTCAGAAATAATATATATATGTGTGTGTGTGTGTGTGTGTGTGTATGTATTTTTTACTAATATTTATTAACAATTAATTAATAATTAATATATTCATTAATAATCAAACCTTGAAATCTCTTTTTTTACCCAAATATGTTTTAAGATATTTGTTCTAACAACTAATTAACTAATTAAACAAGATTTGTTCTTACTAATATTTATTAATAATTGTTATTAATAATTATATATATATATATATATGTTATATGTTATAATAATTAATATATATTATTTAATAATTAAACCAGGAAACATCCTTTTTTACACACAAATTTGTGTTTGTGAAAAAAAAATCTTAATAATTTATATATTAATAAATAATTGGTAATCAACATTTGATGCATAAGTTTTTTACCCCCCAAAAAGCTATGTTTTAGCTACAGTAAAATAAATAATCTGTGAAGTCTATCAAAATGAAATTAATAAATGTATATTTTTTACTAATATTTATTAACAGTTATTAAATGATTAATATATTCATTATTAATTAATGATCAAACCTTGACACCACTTTTTTTTCCAAAAGATCTTTATTACTTATGCTATAAAAATATCTGTGAAGTCTATTAAAATAAAATTAAGAGATATATTTTAAACTAATATTTCTAAATAATTATTCATATATTCATTAATAATTAATATTACACCTTGAGACACTATTTTTTTACCCAAATATCTATGCTTTTTAGTTATAGTAAAACTGTATAAAATATAAATTAGGATAAAATATAAAATATAAATAAAATGGAATTAGGAAATAGTCTTTGGTTTTTACTAATATTTATCAACAATAATAATTAACTTATATATTAATTATTAATTAAAAATCAAACCTTAACGCATCACTTTTTTTTTTACCCATATATCTGTTTTAGTTACAGTAAAAATGTATTTGTGAAGTCTATCAAAATGGAATTAGGAAAAAGTCTATAGTTTTTTACTAATATTTATTAACATTAATTAATAACTTATATATTAATTGATAATTAATAATCAAACCTTGCTGCATCACTTTTCCACCAAATGTCTTTGTTATTATTTATGAAATAAAGATAAATAATTAAAATATCTGTGAAGTCCATCAAAGAGGAATAAAGATTTATTTTTATTTTTAAACTAATATTTATTAATAATTAATTAATTGTTTATATATTCAATAATAACTAATGATTAATTCATGACAAATCATTTTTTTAACCAAAATATTTGGTTAAAATTTATCCTTAAAAGTCTGTCAAATTGAATTAATTAAAAATTTATATATTAATTAAGAAGTAATGATAAAACCTTTGTGCATCATTTTTTCTTTTGCTGCAAAAAAAAACAAAAAACACAAATCATATTATATAATTAATATTAATAATTATTATATTCATTACTAATCAAACCTTAAATTTTTTTTTCACCAAAAATTCAGTTTTTAGATACAGTAAAAAGTTATCTTAATAAGTCCATCAAAATGCAATTAATATATATATATATATATATATATATATATATATATATATATATATATATATATATATATATATATATATTTAAATTAATTAAGAATCTATTAATTAATACTTAATAAATCAAACCTATTATATTTATTAATAAATCAAACCACATATTTATTAATAATTATTAGTCAAATACATGGGTCTCAAACTGAATACCTAGAGGGCTGCAGCTCTGCAGTTTTGCATCAACCCTGAACAAACACAGCTGATCCAAATAATCGAGATGTTCAAATAAGGGATGAACACCTTTATTATTTGGATCAGCTTTGATCAGAGTTGGAGCGAAACTGTGCAGAGCTCCAGCAATTGAGTTTGAGGATGATGGTCTAAAATAACAGAACTGTTCGGATGCTTTTTTCTTTGTGTAATGTTTAACACTGCGCAGCGAACTGAAGCAAATCCACAGCAAATTTGACAAACTGTAGAAGTAAAAAGTAGATTTACAACAAACGATTACAGTTAGATGACACACAGGAGCATTTCAGCATCGCAACGACAAATCAAGGAACAACAGAGGCTCAAAAAAAAAGAAAAGAAAAGCCCCTTCTGGTAGAAAGTGGACATTCAATAAAGCCAAACGATTAATGGTTAGTGTCGTGCAAATCAGAATTAAAGAGGTCTACAGAGATCCAGCAGGAGATCTCTGGAATGAAATGCATATACCTTTTATGCTTTTTCCTATTTTTTTCTTCGTCAAACCTTAGAGGAAAGGCAGGGAGAAGGGGTTAGAGCGTGGAGAGTTTCTGAAGATTCACAGCCAACAGCAGAAATAATCAAATAAATGAAAACTGCTGGTGGAGAACAGCAGTGTGGGGACTTTCTGCAACTGAACACTTCCTGTCAGACAAAAAGAGAGAGAGAGAGAGAAGTGGAGGTGTAACAGGAAAATAACTCACTGTTTAATGCAGTCTGGGATGGACACATACTCCATCGGGACCAGTTCGGCCAGGTCTGTCAGACTAAACACAAACTTGATTTTCTGGCTGAATTTGGAGCTGTGAAGGGGATTAGCATATTCATAAGGTCACTGCAGGAAGTGGGGGTCTTATTAAAACATTGGTGAATGCAACTTGACAAGGACTGACCTTATAAAAGGTTTTGTGAGGGCGAGCAGGGTGCGGATAAACCAGGACGGGTGAACGATTATCAGAGACTTCAGATTCTTCCTTAACCTGTAATAAAACAACGCCTTCACGTCACTTCAACAGGATGAATGCAGGTTACACCAAATTTAAGACATTTATGATTTTAATGCCAGACTTATGGTCCACAGATTCTCTATCCGCTTGTTAATTAATTAATTAATAAAAATTAATTAATAAATAAATTAATTAATAAATAAAAATTAATAAATAAGTAAATTCATTCATTCATTCATTCATTCATTTATATTATAAATAATAGATCTACATTCTAAAAGCGCTGTGGAAATAAAGATGAACTGAATTGGATCTTATGATTCAACTTTTTTGCTTGAATGAATGTAAACATCCAGCAGAAAACCCCTAAAACACATTGAAGACCATAAATCAGCTATTTCAAATGACCAAAATTAAACAGTTTTAGGAAGTTCTGGTGATCATCCTTTCTTACCTTCGATCTATTTGCTGATAGCACTTCCGGAGCCAGCCGACACTGGGCATCTTTCGGCGCGAGGTGGCTCCGTTCAGATATACAATCATATAGTTCTCCGCTACGAGCAGCTCTAGAGTTCCTATGACATACCTGGATGACACACACAACATTGAGGTTTCAGGTAAGAACTTCTAATCAACCGTGTATGACGGATATATTTTGCAACAAAACATAAGCTGCCTGTCCAAAAATAAAGCATAAAAGAAGTCACACACTAATATTTTGTTGGACCATCTTTAGTTTTGATTTTAGCATGTGACATCATTTCAATGCGCTTACGCAACGCCACAACATTTATTCTCATCCAGAGTGATACTTTTTCCCCATGGTCTAACTGCTGTGCGAGGTTTTCCGACAGATTCTCAATAGTTCTTGGCCAGAATACAGACGTAGCTCTTACTTGAATAGATTATCCATGATGTATCTGTAATTCGGTTGATTGCTCTCAGGCATAAAGCAAACAGCGAAGACGATGATGGCGTTCAATCCATCGCCGTAGTATCCTGTGAACAGAGAAAGTGTGTGTGAAAGTGGCCACTGCAAGTGTCTGAATGCTACAGCAAATAAACAAGTCGACTGATCCAACAACCTGGAGTCTGTGTAATTGTTCATGACAAAACGGCATGTAAAACAGGCCTTCAGAAAAAAAAGCAACAGCTGTTAAGCCTGATTTATACTTCTGCGTTAAGTGACGGGCGTAACCCACGGCGCATGCAACGCGCGTAGCTGTGCATTTATACTTCTGTGCCCTGTCTCTGTTGGTCTGCATTAACACTTCCGAAACGCTAGTTGGCAGTGAGGTGTTAATGTGTCTCTGTGTCGAGTTTCTTCGCTGCTGTTTTGCTTTTACTGAACATTTCCTGAATGTACAAGTGGCTCAAACTCGCTCATTTTGAGGCAGGAACCGGCGGACGTGCAACAACTTTAACTATGAGGTAAACACAAAACAAAATTTTCCATCCGGAGCTCCTTCACGGGACTCCACACTTGTAAACAATCGCTCCATCAGGCTCGCACCATTCACGCCACTCTCGGTCCCGCCCAGACTCGTCAGCGCTACCAAGCCGACCAATCACAGAGCTTGCGCCACGCGTCGTTGCGACGTGTAGTTACATTTTTTGAGAGGTGCACGTCAGCGACGTTGACGGCCACGGCGAAAGGCTATGCGTCATCGCCGTAGCATACGCCGCCGTTTGACGCAGAAGTATAAATCAGCCTTTAGATTGCTAACAGGAGGGAGGGATGTGGAAAAGGAAAGAAACAGGTGGTGACACTTGTCTGACAAAGGGATGAACTGAAAATGGTCACTATTAGAGGGATAGTTTACCCAAAAATGTACATTTACCCATGAAGAGTTATTTCAGCTGAAACTTCACATGCAGTACACACTCTACGGACATCAGAGACTTGTTTTACATCGGTCGCCTATCAACCAGTTAAACTCTGCTGCTATTTTGGGATTTCCGCCTGGATTTTGCCTACCCAAAATTAAAAGCTTCCCAAATCCACATGCAGATGTGCGAATGCAAAAATTTGGTATAAATTTAATGAAAACCCTTTGAATTTTCATAAAACACTATTGAAAGTATTTAAAATATCTGTATATGTTGTCTGTGTTATTATAAACACCTAAAAAAAGAGGCGCTTTTTGTTTTTTATAAGCTCAAATTTGAAAGTGTACCTTTTAGGTTTTGTGTAGTCTAAGGTACTGCAATAAATTTTGGTGGTTCCTGCACATGTCTGTAATCACAGGAAAAAAGAAAAATGTCTCTACCATAATATATGCAAAAGTTATTGTATTCCAGCTGATGAGAGGAGCTATACAAGCCACAGGGAGCGATCTTTGTTTTCATATTTCACTATTCTTTTGTTTGATCAAACATAATTCACTGTGTTTGGACCACATCAGACATATAAAGCATTACTTATGCACATCACCTCAAAAACAGAGGAGAAATGGCCCTGAAGCACACAGCATAAGGTAAGAGATGACAGCTGTCTGTGCTATCTGGGGCTGCTTATTGATCATAAATGTATTGTTTTCATTTCTGCGCCATGGAAACACCTCAATTCATTCGGCAACTGTTTGAAGTGTGAATATAATACAGTAAAAAGAACACTAGAACTATATGAGCACCGGCAAGAGCTTTCATTTGAGCTATAACTTGTACATGTGTCATATGAAAAATATGAAAATGAACCAATGTTCAATACCCAGCTCGGGTATCCAAAATACTGTGTATTTAAGTGTAAATAACTTTTGTACAGTACAATAAAAACCAAAGTGATGCATATGTGCATAAAATATAGACTCTACACTTTCAAACGAAACCACTTACGGGGGTCTGGTGCAATGCTAGCCCTTTAAATCTGAAAGCGAAAGTCGATGGCGTCACGCAGAGTTTAACTGGTTAAGCTCTAAAAACATTGTCTCGGCTACTAAGAATATAGCTAACACCACAAATCTTCACGAACTGCTTTCAAACTACTTAAAACTACACAACTTAAAACATTGTTTATTAGGAATTCACTTCCTAAAAAGTGCAAACAGAAAGCGCCCTCATGCAGTCGTGTATGTAAATGCGTCACACTGACCTCCATGACTGATGACCTTCTTGTAGGGCTCGATGGCCTTCATGTCCACCCGGTGCTCCTGATCTCCGATGCGGAAGACTCTCCAGCGCCGGCCCTCCTCGCGCTCCTCTGACGTGCTGTACTCCTGCACAGACTCCACACCCTTACGCAGCAGATCTGCACTTTTGGGCTTTGGAAGATCATCTGACAAAGGAAACACAAGCGTTTTGTTTAAAGGGTATGTCTGCCGTTTGTCCTTTCATTTCAGGGGCTGTGTGTGATGCTTTATTGATTTACAGTTCAAAAAGATTTTTAAAAAGCATGTACTTGTGTTTTGATCATAAATAATCCTTTAAAAAGTCAAATTCCCTTTACTGGACATGAATACAAATTGAAAGATTAAATTGTATGTTTGCAGCAATCACATTTTAAAATACCTTACTAAATCTTATTGCATTTTTAACTAAAATCTTGCTGAAAAAGCTGAAAATTATTTTTACTTTAATGACCTAATTATCTATTATAGAATATTTTGACTTTAATGACCTAAACATCCCTGACAATATTTTACGTCGTATAAACTTATTGTCATACCTAATGACAGTTTTGTAAATCATAGTTAAAATGTAAAGATAAACAGAAGAAAAAGAAAAAAAACACACACTTTTCTTCTTTAGATGCTCAAATACCCATTATTGTCTTTGACCCACTTCATTTTCAACATGTGATTTAACAAAAATGATCAAGACACCAAAATGAAGCTGATTAACAGAATCATGAGATTGGAGGGGAAAAAACATGCACAAATCAAAATCCGACATTTTCCACCACAGAAAAAAATGGACAACATCTGATTTATATTGCCTAGTACCATATGGAAAAAGTGACATCTGAAAAAAATAAAATGAAATCAGTGCTGTAGGACTTGATCGGGGAGTGAACATCCAGTCAGGTTACCTTACCACAAACACAGGCCCACGGCCTGATGCAAGAAACAATCCTTCCAGGACAGAGAGAAGAAGAGAGCAGTGGGACAGAAAAACAAGAACACACAACACTGTTTAACTGAGAGTTTCTGCACTCGGACGTCCATCAACTGAGCTCTGAAATGTTAGTGAGTGAGAAACACGTCTACAGGATCAGAAAGAGAAACGTCTGAATGGCTGATAAGACTAACTGGACAGAAACGTTTACAGGAACAAAACCTTTATGTTGGCTTGAAAAAAATTGCTCAAAGCTCAAAGAAAGGAAAGAATTAATAAAGGAAGGAAAGAAGGAAAGAAAAAAATAAAAAAAGAAATGAACGAACGACACAAACAAAAGAAAAAAACAAACGAACGGAAGAAAGAAAGAAAGAAAAAAAACGAATGAAAGAAACAAACAAACAAACAACGGAAGGAATTAAGGAATTAACAAAGGAAGGAAGAAAGAAACAAACGAAAGAAACAAACGAAAGAAAGAAACTAACGAAAGAAACAAACGAACGAACGATAGAAACAAACAAACGAAAGAAAGAAACAGGAAGGAATTAAGGAATTAAGAAAGAAAGAAAGAAAGGAAGAAAGAAAGAAAGAAAGAAACAAACGAAAGACAGGAACAAATGAATGAAAGAAAGGAACAAACGATCGAAAGAAAAAGAAAGAAAGAAAAAAAAGAAAGAAAGAAAGAAAGAGAAAGAAAGAAATAAAGAAAGAAAGAAAAAAGAACAAACAAACGAACGAAAGAAAAAAACGAAAAAAGGAGGAAAGAAAGAAACGAAAAAAGGAAAGAAAGAAACGAACAAAGAAAAGAAAGAACAAAAGAAAGAAATAAAGAAAGAAAGGAACAAACAAACAAATGAACGAAAGAAATGAAAAAAAAGAAAGAAAGAAACGAACGAACAAAAGAAAGAACAAAAGAAAGAAAGAAACGAACAAACAAACAAACGAACGAAAGAAACGAAAGAAAGGAACAAACGAATGAAAGAAAGGAACAAACAAATGAAAGAAAGAAAGGAACAAACAAATGAAAGAAAGAAAGAAAGAAAGAAAGAAAGAAAGAAACAAACAAACGAATGAAATAAACGAAAAAAGGAAAGAAAGAAACGAACGAACGAACGAAAGAAAGAAATAAACTTGAAAGAAACGTGCATATTTGGCATTTCTTATTTTCACATATGGTTAAATTGTTTAGCAAAGACAATACATAGCTAATATGAATTAGCATGTTGCTTTTATTTTTACAACATGGCTGCTAGAATTATTTGTAGTAAAACTGTAGTTTTACAAATGCTAATCAATATGGCAAAAACATGGTTAACACAATACTAGCTTAGATTAGCATGCTGGTAACAGAAAGCAGCTAGCTCTCTGCAACTCTCAATGGTCGACCACTGAAGCTAAGCAGGGCTGAGCCTCGTCAGAACCTGGATTGGTGAACTCATGGGAAAGCTGGGCTGCTGATGAAATAATATGACTCAGCCCCCAGCAGGGGGCGCTCAACCTGCGGTCTGTGTGGGTCCTGACGCCCCGTTATAGTAAAGGGGACTCTATACTGCTCAGTGAGTGCTGTCTTTTAGACTCTCTGTGGTAATTAAAAATCCCAGGATGCCCTTCGAAAAAAGTAGGGGTTTAACCCTGGCATCCTGGCCAAATTTGCCCACTGGCCTCGGTCCATCATGGCCTCCCTAACATTCCCATATCATAATTGGCTTCATCACTCTGTCTGCACCAATCAGCTGGTGTGTAGTGTGCGGTCTGGCACAATGTGGCTGTCTTTGTGTCATCCAGGTGAATGCTGCCACTGGTGGTGGATGAGGAGACCATGACTCTGTGTGCTCACGGCATTCTGAAAAGTTGAGATGTTTTCAACTGGTTGCGCCTGGATCCTGCAAATGTGACACTCCCAATATGCACGTGCAAGCCGTGAGCCTCCATTAGAAAAAAACAAACTTGCGAACACAAAGGATGCCAAATGTGAACGACCCCTAAAAGGTGAACAATTTAACACATTGAAAAAACGTTTCTTGTGTGCTTTTGCATAATATTAAAATGATTTACCATGTTGCCCAATATAATATTATTATTTCCAAAGCTAGCTGCTACTTTTCTATGTTTTAGGGGTAGTTTTTTTTTGTCATTTTGACCGTCCAAAGTCAAATCAGTTAGAAACGATACTGTTTATTGAGTCACATTTAAAACCTTTGAACACTGAAGCTCTAGTCCAATGCAACAGAAATTGAAACAATTTTTCTCAAGCCAACAGAATTTATTCGATTAGTTGCCGTTAGCGATTACGTAATGTTAGGGCATGTTTAGCATGTACAGGTTACCTTCCCACTCAAACTCGTTGCTGTTGTCGGAAGGAGTGTCGATATCATCCAGGTCCAGTTCTGTGCTCTCGTCCAACTCATCCGACAGCACCGAGCCTTCGCTGTGGTCAAGATTCAGACTGATGTCCGGAGCCAAGAGTTTCCTTTTGGTTTTCTTTCCACTGTGTAGTCCGTAAGACTGGGAAGCTACAATTCAAAAAAATAAAAATAATAAATTAAAAAAGCCATTCTAGTCGGGAGCTCTGTTTCTAACCACCTATTTTATGCACATTTTAGAACACTGCATTAAGAAATTTACAAATGGAAATGGCAAGATGCACATAAAAGTAAAAAACGTGCATGAAAACATATGTGCGCCAATATCCTTATGGTGAAATGCATCGGCATATAGAACTGAGGTGTTCACAGTGACCGGAGTTTGAGACCTGGCTATATTGTGTGTATATATATATATATATATATATATATATATATATATATATATATATTAGGGTTGTAACAATATACCGGTATGACGGTTTACCACGATTTGAATGTGCACGATTATCATACCATGAACAATTGCATATCAACGGTTTTAACCCTTAAAGACCGAGACAGCCGCCCGCGGCTAAAAATAAGTATTGCTCTTAAATGTTTAATAACTTTTGATCCGATTCATACAATTCAAAGCATAAAGAAGAGAATCTCAGCTTTCCAGTGCTGTACATAACATTCTCGGCTCCGGAGGCTCCGGAATCAGTGCGGTTACGTCATCAAAATTTGACAACGCTGATTTGACAAAGAAACGCTCGTCACTGTGTCTCCGGACAAACCAGACACGATACATTGATGCATTGTCCCTTCTCCATGCCCAGATTGGTTCAAACTCGCTATATCACAACCAATAAGCATAGGTTACGCTTTTGTTTGTGGAAAAAAAACGAGCTTTTTGAACAACACGGAATGAGAGATAGGCATACATTTATGCGCGGCTAAATAAAACGCAAAAAAAAAAGTTTTGCATGAAATAATTCTCATACTAAGTACTTTTGCATGCACAGCAGCACAGAAACATTACAAAACAGTGACACAGCAAAGACGAACTGCTGCTCTTGCTGTTTTCAAAAGACGCAAATGAAGGTGCAGCTGTTTGTCTGCATTGCAGACAACCATATCCAAATCCATATCCACAGACAACCATATCCATGCTGGCACATAAAACCTAAGGATGTTCCATATTGAATCTAGTTTCGTTATGTAACTATTTATAGTATAGTAAATATTTATATCTATTTTTTTACTGAGGATTTGCACCATGTTTATTTGGACTTTATTTGGACTTTGACACATTATTTATTATTTTCTTATTTTTTTATTTGTTCATTGTAAGTGGTGTTGTTTATAGTAACTGAAAATATATTATTTGGAAAAAGTAAAATTTGCTTCACTGTTCTATTATTTTGTAACATTTGTAACATACCGTATACCGCGAAACCGTCAAACCGTGGTATTGTTTTAGACTATTATCATACCGTAAAAAATTCATACCGTTACAACCTTAATATATATATATATATATATATATATATATATATATATATATATATATATATATATATACACACACACACACACACACACACACATATATATATATATATATATATATATATATATATATACACATATATACACACACACACATATACACACATATACACACACACACACACATATATATATATATACACATATATACACACATATATATATATATACATATATATATATATATACATATATATATATATATATATATACATATATATATATATATATATATATATATATATATATATATATATATATATATATATATATATATATACACACACACATATATATATATATATATATATATAACAAATCCGCCAAAAAACAGTTGTTGTTTTCTGACTACTTTAACAATTGATTGTCGTGAAATAATAACTGTCTCTGCATATTAAGTACATGCATACATCACTATGGCTTACCAGGCGCTCCTTCACCAGTATAAAGCTCTTCATCAAGATGAATATCTTCCTCCTCTGGAAGTGGCCTGGCAAACCAAAGAAGAATGCACATACATATTGGCGTGCTTATACACTAGACATTCATGAAACTGCACACAAACCAAGAAATCAAGCAGAAATTTCAGAAAGTTTACAAATAGTCTGAAAGTGGCAAATTGCATTAGCTATAATCTAACTGGATTTTCCTACCCAAATTGAAAAGCTCCCCCCCCCCCCCACACACACACACACACACACACAGAAATGTGTTTAACTCTAAAATGTTTTTTTTATTTTACGTTTGACAGGAAACCATTTGAAATTACATAAAATGGTGTTGAAAGTGCTAAAATCCCACCCAAACAGATAAGGGCATACCTGGGGAAATCCTCATCCTGCCACTCCTCCTTAAGCTCCACCCCCTCCATCCTCAGCCGCGCCTCTGTGGTCGCCACCGACTCCTGGTGCTCAAAGCTGAACATAAAAACCAAAAAACAAAACAATTAGACAACATTTTTGACTAAAAATCAACCCTTGCTCAATAGGGTTCGGGTAAGGGCTCACTAGAAAAACCAATACGTCCGAGACGACAGACTCCAGAAGTCCAAATCCAAGAGGGGCTGATAGTCATTCATGACAAAACTACACACCGCTGCAGTAACTGATGGAACGATCGAAAGCAGCAGCTCCGAACTGCCTAATAAGAGCAGTGCGCATTAAGACGCATGTTGCTGCTCACGATGCAACAAATCCATACAGGCCTCTTTGGTGGACTAATCTCAAACCCAAAGGCAAGCAAACTCATACACAACCGTTTCTGTTACATACAGGATAAGCTCTTTTACTAATAGGAGCAGGCGAAACAGTCTGGGGAAAGATCTGGGTGGTGACTCTGAAAAAGTCCTGACATTCTTGGATTGTGTTCAAAGTTCAGCGTAAAGAGCAAACCCGCTTATTTCTGGAAAATAGAGAGCTGATTAGGATGCCCTTCCTACTAGAACTAAAGTCATTTTACGGTTTTGATTCAGTGACGTTTGCGACGCTTCTTAAAACCTCAGGGGTGTTTCAGACACAGTCAAAAAATTATTACCTTTAGGCATATTTCCCTGAAAAAAATGTAAATTTACTCACTATTTATTCCCCCTCAAGGAGTTCCAAACGTTTCATTTTTTTTGTTGTTGACGACATTTTTAAAAAACATTAGAAACCTGTAACCACTGACTTTCATAGTATTTATTTTTACAACTTTGGAAGTTAATGGTTACAGGTTTCCAACATTTTTCAAAACATCTTATTTTGTGTTCACCAGAAAAACTAAATAAAATGGATAAGCAGCAATTGAAGGATAAAGTAAATATTGGAAGAATTGGAAATTGTGGGTGAAATGTCCCAAAACACATTTACTCAAAGGCCACTTTATTAGGTACACCTGTCCCAACTACTCGTTAACGCAAATTTCTAATCAGCTAATCACATAGCAGCAACTCAATGCATTTAGACATGTAGACATGGTCAAGACGACCTGCTCCAGTTCAAACCGAGCATCAGAATGGGGAAGAAAGGGTGATTTAAGTGACTTTGAACGTGGCATGGTTGTTGGTGCCAGACAGGCTGGTCTAAGTATTTCAGAAACTGCTGATCTATTGGGATTTTAACACACAACCATCTCTAGGGTTTACAGAGAATGATCTGAAAAAAGGAATATATCCAGTGAGCGGCAGTTCTGTGGGAGCGAATGCCTTGTTGATGCCAAAGGTAGAGGAGAATAGCCAGACTGGAGCAGATAGAAAGGCAACAGTAGCTCAAATAAGCACTCGTTACAACCGAGTTCTGCAGGAGAGCATCTCTGAACACACAACACGTCCAACCTTGAGGCGGATGGGCTACAGCAGCAGAAGACCACACCGGGCGTCACTCCTGCCAGCTAAGAACAAGAAGGATCCTACGAAGGATTAAGGCAAAATTGGGTTGAACCCAGTACTAGTAAGGTGTACCTAATAAAGTGGCCGGTTAGAGTATATACACTTGGCAAAATCTATAGCAGTTATAAACATAAATTTTCCTAAAAAAGATAAAACCACAGCATTATAATGTATTCAGAAACTGCATAGCATACTCATGTTTACATATTTTGTTAATAAGCTAAATTATCAAGAATTTCCATCAACTGATCCCAGTTATTTTGAAGAGCACGTGTTTTGAGCTTGCTTTATTTTCTTATTTTTAATAATTGAGCCTCATCCAGCAGCTGTTCAGTGTTTTCAGAGAGACACACACACACTGATAAACTGTGGAGCAGAGTTAATCATCATGCCATTCGTGCACCAGCCGTCATACTCTTGATGTGAGGTGACGTCTGCCAGCCCTCCTAGAAGAGATGAGCATCAGTTCACAGCGCCGGGTCATGAGACGCACACCACATGTTCCCTCACGCCACTCAAGCCAAAGCTTTACAGACGTTTCTGCAGTGGAGGATATTTTGAAGAACATGTCTGCTCACTGAACTTGGTTGTTAGGCGACTGTTTATAACAACCAGACATCAGAAATGACATCATATGCTTCTACCTCAGAAACGATGGTCTGTTCTGTAGACTATTGAAAAAGTTAAATTAAAAAGTAGATTTAAATTTAAGACTTTAAGACCATTATGAATGAAATTTTACACCATTTTTCAAATGGCCCAGGTGGAAAAGATTTTAATTTGTGTATAAAAAATATATACTAATTTAATAAATGTAATAATACAATAATAAATTAATAATAAAAAGTAAAACTTTTAATCCTAAATTTTAAATATTGTGTAAAAACAAGCAAGCTCTATGTGACCCATACTCTTTTTTTCCAACATAAACTTTCTTTTAAAGAATTAAAAAAAAAATGTTTGAAAAGTTTTAAAAACTATAATAAACTAAATATATGCACAACAATCTGTCCAGTTCAGTGTCCTCAGCAGTGAAGAACGTTTAAACAAATGTTACTATAAGGAAGAAAATTAAACCATTATGATAAATAGAGTTAAAAATTACCTTTTAAATAAAAAGTTTAAATTTTTATTGAGATGATTGTTGGTGATTGTATGGGTTTTGGCCAGATCTGGTTGCAATACATGAACAAAGGGGGAAAAAAATTACAATTTGGATTTTGAGATTTAAGACATTTTAGGACTTTTTAAGACCCTCCGGAAATCCTGAATAAGGCTAATAATTTTGACCTTTAAATGGTTCTTACACAATTTTAAACTAGCCGAAATAAAACAAGAAAAAATCTTCAGACATACTGTGAAAATTTCATTTGGGAAATATATAAAAAAATAAAATAAAAAAAATCAAAGGGGGGCTAATAATTCTGACTCAACTGTATATCCCATTTCAGTGCTTGTGTATTCTCTTTCAAATTGGGTAATTATGTTGTATGTAAGGGTGGCACGGTGGTTCAGTGGTTAGCATCTGGAAGTGCATTCGCTGTGTAAAACATATGCCAGAATAATTAGTGGTTCATTCCACTGTGGCATATTAAACTCAAACTAAACTCAAGAATCACTCAGGATAATTCTTGATGTGAATGTTTTAATGATGGTGATAATGTTTTGCATATGCTCTGTCTGTTTTGAATAGATGTATATCCTGAAGGCTTACTATATCCAACACACCCTCAGGGAAATGACAACAACAACAAAACAGAAACAAACGGCTCTCTGTGAACACAGTCTAAAATAAAGCCCAGATCTTGAAAATAAAGCTACTCCATGAACAAATCTTCTGTAAATTCTGATCACTACCTTTTTGTTGCCAGCTGTTCAATTTTCAGTTCATTTTCATAGTCACCAAAATTAGGTATACAGTTGAAGTCTTTGAATTTGTTTCTCCTTTTTTAAATATTTCCCAAATGATCTTTAACAGTGCAAGGAAATTTTCACAGTATGTCTGATAATATTTTTTCTTCTGGAGAAAGTCTTATTTGTTTTATTCGGGCTAGAATAAAAGCAGTTATTAATTTTTTAAAAAACATTTTAAGGACAGCATTTTTAGCGCCTTTAAGCTCATTTTTCTTCGACTAATTTTTCTACAGAACAGACCATCGTTATACAATAACTTGCCTAATTACCCTAACCTGCCTAGTTACCCTTACTAACCTAGTCAAGCCTTTAAATGTCACTCAAAGCTGTATAGAAGTGTCTTGAAAAATATCTAGTCAAATATTATTTACTGTCATCATGGCAGAGATAAAATAAATCAGTTATTAGAGATGAGTTATTAAAACTATTATGTTTATATAGCTTAAAGGGGCTAATCATTTTGTCCTTAAAATGGCTTTTAAAACATTAAAAACTGCTTTTATTCTAGCCAAAATAAAACAAATAAGGCTTTCTCCAGAAGACAAAATATTATCAGACATAAATGCACTGTAAAAATGTCCTTGCTCTGTTAATTTGGGAAACATTTAAAAAAGAAAGCAAAAACCAAAGGGGGGTTAATAATTCTGACTTCAACTGAATGTGTGTATGTATATATATGTGTGTGTGTGTGTGTACTTTGATAGACATTGGCTGCTCATATGATTTCACAATTTAGAATTTACAAAGAATACTTTTCTGAAATTATACTATTAAAAAGTCTGAATATGTTAATATAAAACTAACTTTACCTCAATTGTTTACCCCACTACTTTGAATATTCAGTCTGAAAGCACACAGTAAACAACGTGCTTTGATAGTCATTGGCTGCTAACATGATTTCACCGTTTGGAATTTGCATAGAACTTTTCTAAATTATATTATTAAGGAGAAAGTCTGCATGTGTGGATATAAACCCAACTTATAAACCCTGTTCCGTGTGCACTTTACCTTCCATTGTGTTGTCCCGCAGATGTGTGCGGCAGTCTCACAGGAGTTGATGTCCTCACGCCTTGTTTTTGTCTATTGTCTGGAGTCTCTGCTGTGTTTTCTGTTTCCTGCTGCGGATCTCCTGCTCGGTTTCCATTCGCCACCGAAATCCCCGTTCCCGAGTCCTCGTGCGGCTCATCTTCCCCGGTACGAACCGAAGAAGTGGATAAAGATGTGGCGCTGCTTATATTTCTGTTTTCTGGACTCTCAGATGTCCGGTTGGGTGTGTCTGATTCGGGATCAGTTCTGTTGGCGTTCATATCGCTCTGATTGGAAACCTCTCCGCTCGATAGTATGACATCAGTGGCCATGATAGAGCGATTAGCAATTAATCGATTAGCAAAACTAAACTTTGAACTTATGGAATAAACGTAAACAAGCCGTAATATTAAACTTACTAAACTTTTACGTAGTGTTAGACATCTCTGGTTAATAATAATACTTGTTTTGTTTTGAAATGTTGCTTTACGTATGTCCCAAAACAGTCGTGCCCTTTTAAGTGAACTAGTGTGTGTGTTTAGTGGGCCAGCAGTGCGCAGTCGGTCCCTTTTCCTCTCCCGTTTCCTTCCTTCAGCAAAACCGCTGTCAGATGATCCGATATAACGGTGAGAAACGCGTGTCGATCATGTCAAAGCTCGGAAATGACACTTAAAACGGCATTTAAGACGCTTTTATTGGCTGACAAACTCCGCCGAGCCATCTCAACTGTTGCTTCCACCGGCCGTCATTCTTCTTTTGGAAGTGTCGGGTGAACTGAGGTGAAGCGAGGCACGGCGATACACAAAACTTCCGGTCGTTATTTTGAGGTTGTTCAAAATAAAAGTGTCCCGGTTTCGTTATTAAAAGTCATCTACGCTTAAAATGTAGCTGGGGAGGAAGAGTTCACGATAATGTAATATAAGAGTACATGTATAAGTGACATTTAAATGTCACTTTAAGCTGTATAGAAGTGTCTTGAAAAATATCTAGTCAAATATTATTTACTGTCATCATGACAAAAATATTTTTAATATAATAGATTGTAAATAGATTTAAAGGCTTTACAACTGTAGGTTAATTTGTTTAACTAGGTAGGTTAGGCTAATTAGGCAAGTTATTGTACAACAATTGTTTGTTCTGTAGACTATCGAGAAATATATAGCTTAAAGGGGCTAATAATTTTGACCTTAAAATGTATATATATATATATATATATATATGTGTGTGTGTGTGTGTGTGTGTGTGTCATCAAAGTAGCAGTACTCGTTTACTTTCATTACAGTAGAATACCGCAAATTCTTAATATGCATTAAGTTACTGTAAAAGTTTTATAATGACTCAAAATGCAGTGCATATTACAGCAGTGAGCTGTAAAGAATGTATGCGGTATATCACTGGGTGTTTTTGCGGTAAATAACTGTAAAATATGGTAAAGTGTAACAGTGATAATAATGATAAAATGCCTTCTGTTGTCATAGTAAAAGTGTAATAACTATTATTGGTGTATTGATTAAAATTAAATTAATTTTATTATAAACAAGCTAAGGGCGACATAGTGGCTCAGTGGTTAGGACTGTCACCTCACAGCAAGAAGTTCACTGGTTCAAGTCCCGTCTGGGTCAGCTGGAGTGTCTGTCTGAAGTTTGCATGTTCTCCCCGTGTTGGTATGGGTTTGCTCCGGTTTCCCCTACAGTCCAAACACATGCACTATAGGGGAATTGGGTAAACAAAACTGGCAGTAGTGAATGAGTGCGCATGTGAGAATGTATGGGTGTTTCCCAGTACTGGGTTGCAGCTGGAAGGGTATCCGCTGTTTAAAACATATGCTGGATAAGTTGTCGGTTCATTCCGCTGTGACAAACTCTGGTGAACAAAAGGACTAAGCCAAAGGACAATTAATAAATGAATGAACACGACCAAAAGATTGTTTATAAAGTAAAACCATTGTTAATTTTGAATTTAATATTGAATTTTTAGGTCAATAGGGTCTTTAATTGTGCACTTTGAATAGAACGGTAACCATGAAGTTAAATTAAACATTAGCAAGACTTGCTAATATTATGATGTTCAGTATCTATAATTTAATATCTAGTGCATATGCCTTTAAAAGTCATTTTTGTTAATGCTGAAAACAAAATAATATGGGAATTTTTGTTTTTGGTTGTCCATATTGCATAGATTATTTTTAGTGCCCACCTAATTAAAGAACTCCAATAAATCTAACAGACTGTAATGAGGTGAGTGTAATAATGCTAAAAAGACTGCTAAATATGAAGATCTATTCAAGAGTAGTACACTAGATGGCGGCACAACACTGTTTTAGAGGAAATATTTCAGTAATTAATCTCTGAACAGAAGGACCTGCATAATATTAAAATATTACAGCGATTCACTGTCAACATTGAATTCTCGATGCATAATGTTTGATCAATTTGTGAAATTAAGATTTTCTATCGGATGCTTTACAATATTATATGTGTTCATATGTGTTAGTTTAGTTAGCACTGAAGCCAAATCTGGAGCTAATATAACAAAATAACTTACAATAATGTAATTTTTTAACTTACACAAATTTATATGTAAGAAAAAAATAATAAATATAATTTTCCAAAATAGTAAAAATTGAGAGAAGCAAAAAAAAAAAAAAAAAAAAAAAATAATAATAATAATAATAATATATATATATATATATATATATATATATATATATATATATATATATATATATATATATATATATATAATTTTATTTATATATATATTTTGCAATATTAAGCATGAATTTAAATGTATTAACTTTCCATTTTAATAGATGCTATGTGACTAAAATATTATTTTAATAAATATATCTGTTTAACAAATCTGTTTTGTTCAAATGCACCAATATATATTCCCCATATTCACTGAGAGATGGATAAAAATATTCATTTTCAAAATAGGCTGTACTCATATGCTGAGCACTGAACAGAATATACCTTTTTCCCTGATGCTTTACCAAATAATATTTATAAAACTACTTGATTACCACAATACAGGGGTATACAAGAATTATTATTCAAGTCATTAATGTTTTAGCAATGCAGAGTGTGCATATTTATTACTTTAATACATTTTTTTAAATGACAACATAAAAAGAAACACTTATACATAATAAAACAGGCAGCTCCTCCGGCTTTATAGCCATAGGCATAAATCGCACACTAGTTAAAATATAAAATGATGTATTAAAATCTGTGAAATAATTGAGAAAAGTCACATTTTTTATTCCAAAACATTTAGTAATAATATTTTCTAAATAGTCGCTGAAAATGTGCATTAAATATAACAACAACTGTAATGCATTTGCAATTATAAATTCATTATAAATAATATTTTTTGTATTATTATTATCATCATTATTATTATTATTATTATTATTATTATTA